AAAAGGTCACCTTTAATTTTGCTACCATAAAACACAAACACTTCTTTATTATGGGGAAAAAATAATCAAGCTTTTGATATTTTAGAATTTCCTTTTTTCTTAACACTTGAGGGAAGATATTTTTAGCAATCCATCATTTTTTTCAGTGTATAATCACATTTTCCTTTTCAGTACAATTGTAATGAATTATAGACAAGCCCATTCTATCCATTCGAAGAAACAGTAAATGGAGTAAGCTGGAAGTTCTGAAGAGTCATGTTTTTTTTTAAGTCACTATATAGTTTTCCATTTGCCCCCCCCCCCCCCCCCCCCCCGAGTCACTAGTTTGTAGAGTATATGCTACAGACACCCTGGTCATGGAAGCCTTCCTCCTTTATTTGTCCATTGCAAAGCATTCTTAACCCTCTCTAAAAAGGCAAAGGCTTTGCTCTGCACTGAAATGTGCAGGCCCATTTGATGACCATTGGGTCTTCCCAATACAGATCAGTCTGCCCCAATGGGAGAAAACCAAACAAAAACCCAGATACCTGTACCTGTGTGTTGTCCATTTCCACCTTGATCTCTGTGCCAATTTTAACTGCTTATTGTGTGAGCTGAGGTAGATCCCTGAGTTCACAACAGGACTTTAGAAAGTTCTTTGTGGCTATTTCAACATAAAAAACCCACGTCTCTGTGGATCGGATGGCAGGAATGTAGACTTAGAGTATAAACTGGTTTAGGCAACGATGCTGTTATTCTTTTACTCAGTGAATGATGATTCAAATCATAAGCTAATGCTTTCCACGTAGATGGTAGGGAGAACAGCTGCCGCCTTGAGGAAAAATCAAAACATTCCACTTTTAAAATATCTTTATTGAGCCATATAAATATATTTTTCATTTTGTGTCCCTGGGAATATTTAAGGCCAAGCAGGGCTAGGAGTAGATTTGCTGAAATATTGCAGTGAGAGCTGTCATCAAGCCCTTCCTAGTGTTTGGGTCACTTTGGCACCTGCAGTCTTGAAATTTTTAAGCTTGCAAACTCAACTCAACCTTAGCCTGAATGCAGTCTGAGCTACTCCTTCAGAGATTTGCACCTCTGACAGGCAATTTTGTTGAGACTGGCAGCAAGCCTACTAATTTTTCCCAGTTGTGGCAGATTGTTTTACTGTTTTTTACCCTTAATACAAAGATGGTTTACTGGAATCCCTGGATTTTCATGTTTGAAGCCATTGAACCTTTCATCACAGGTAAAATCATGTATCTACTCTGTTTTTTCTTAAAAGCTTCCAGGTTATCTGCACACATGATTGCACTGCAGCTCTGTGCAGATACCTTATTTCCTTCAGTTGGAAAGCCACTGAGATGTTCTGTTGTGCTTTTCCCTGCCACTGAAATATTTAGAGCACTTCTTGATATCACCAGTGGGCTGCACATGGAGCTGGGCTCTATTTCTTATTTCTCTCCTGGTCTAAAAGGATTGCAGAAACACCAAGGTGTGGGTGAGCATGAGAGCAGAACAGCAATCCCTGGCTGGCCAGTGGCCCCTCGGGATACTGTTACCATCCTGCGTAATGCAGAGCAGCCTGTGTTAACTCGTGTCTGGTTTGGGTATAGAAGTAGAAGAAAGGGAACATACAACTTTCTTCTATGACTTACTGCCCGGTAAAAGTATTTTAAAGAATCTTTGGGGATAAATTTAGGCCTCAGATGCACACATGTGGATCTCATTGATTTCATAGGAAGCCATGTGAGTGTGTACATTAACAGACAGAATATGGCTTTTGATCTTTAAGAGCAATTAATATAAAATATGGAATTACACTACTGTGTAATAGGATATCTTTTACTACTTTGTTAGAAGTACTCCCCAAACTCAAATACAAAACAACATAGCTTCTCAGGCCATGCTCTTATAATGGCATATCTTCGCCAATGCTTATCACCTTCTGACACTGTTTGTAAATGTGTTTGGCTGTTGCGCTTTGAACTTCAGTAAAACATTTGTACTTAATAAAAAAACAAGACCAATCACCTTCCTGTCCTCACATCTGTCCATTCTTGAGAATGGCATTATAATTGGAAGAGAAAGGAAAAATAGTTGTCATGACTATCCGCAGGGACTCCCCCGTGACCATTTATTTCCTGCTACCATGCGAGACACAACTGTGATGGCTAAGCCCTCATTCCAGAAGCCTGCAAGCACAGAGTGTTTCAGCATGTGCTTACAGATATGAGCCTGTGGGTTGCCAAGTACCCCTTGTAGCTAATATCTGAAGGAGTGTGATGAATTAAAAACCTGTGCTGGCATAGATCTTGCAGGGGTGTGCAGGATGGACAGCTTGAAGGTGGTTCCCCAGGGTCTACACCTTGAAACTGCTGCAGTCGCATCTACCTGTGAGTGGGTGGTAATAAAATGCAATGAACCTCAACTGGAGGTGTCTTTGCTTTCATTTTACCTACCTGAAATTCCTCGTGTGTTGGACTGACAGACATACTAACTGAAAGCTGAAGCAGCTTCTGCCTGGAAAGGTTACCACAACTGGGAAAACAAGTCCAGGAGCGAGCAAGAGGCATTAAACAGGGTCCGCCTGTGACACGTTCTCAGTGGGAACAGCAAACTCTTCTCAAAGTGTTTCTTCACCAGGGAAAAGGCACAATGTGCCTCTCACGGAAGAAACTAAAGTGAGGTCTTTTCAGGTCTCTTCATTAAGCTGTTGAATTGCAAATAAAAGGAAGCTAAACTGTAGGAGTTCCTTTGTCAAGGTAACAGTCTGGGGGGGGGGGGGGTGACATGGGGGGGTGGAAAGAAGGATCGTTGTATTGTCTCAGAACAAGAATTCACATGTTTCCATTTGAAAGTAGCTGTGGACTTGTTTCCTGTTCCCCAGCCTGTCAATTACACAAGAGGCCTTTCCCCTGAAAGGTTTCCTAAGTCTTCGCAGTCATAAGATTGGTTTTGTTCCCGCTTTCATACTCGAGCGTCTCACTCTTTTTTTGGCTGAAGTGTTCAGTATATATTCACCTTCAGGCAGAAACTGATTCTAGAAAATTTCCATCTGTGCTCTAGGTGAGACTTTTAGGAAGTTGTGAACAATGGAAGGGAGGGTAATAACAGAAACATGCATGCAGCCCTAGCCATAAATGGCACTTGCATTTTAGCAATAATAAATATGTGTCTTTTACAGTATTTCTATTTTGCTGAATCTCTGAGTCCAATGGACTGAATATTTTTTGTTATTAATCTTCATAGATTACAGCTGAAGTCATAATATTCTATGAAAAGCCAACTAGCTCTGTGAGTTTTGATCATCTGTAGCTTTATTGTTTTGTTGATTGTATCAGATGCTACTTATTCCATCCAGAGTCACACTTATAAAACATTTAATATTATTTTTTTATTAAACTAATTTCATGTGCAACACCACTTTTTTACCCTTCTCTCCATCACCTCAAACAACCCTACCTGTAAAATTTTGCTGAAAAAATAAGAGCTGCAGAGAGCTTTTAAAACAAACAACAAAACAACGCCCCCAAAAAAACAAATCAAAACTCTGTTTTTTCATGCCCTGTTAGACTATTACAAAATAGTCACTTTGCAGAGAATTGCACAAAGGTAGGAGTGAGGAACAGAATACCATTGCTGGAGACCACCGTGTACTACTTAGCACCCATCTGCTGTCCTCTTTGTAGTGGGAAGATATGCCTGCAGTGCTTTGAAGTGAAGAGCAGCCAAAACAAAATGACTCTCTACATAATGCTGTATTACAATGAACTTTTTCAGTGTGTAATATAGTAAAATCCCTGTTATCTGAATTCCATATTCTTCAATCACCGTAACTTGTGATTCAGATGAATGGGAATCGCCAAGATATAAACTTGAAGAGTTTATTAACTGACTGGATATTAATCTCTTCTAGTAGTATTTATATAATCTGCAGCATGATGTGGCATCTAAACACAGCAGGTTTAGTTTATTTTACCAATTCAGTGCAAAATATCTCCTGCACCAAAAAATGCGTTCAAGTTAGACTTCGGGATACAAATCTAAATTTCTGTTAACTGGCCTTCTTATGTTTAAGGTTGGAAGTACATCCTAACAGATTAATCAGAAAGAAGGATAGTCAGTACAGGTGAAAAATCAGAAATTATTATCTGTATTGCAGCATATGTAGAAGAGGAGATAGGATCTACTTTCACTGTTTTCCAGTTCCAGGAAGATTCTAAACAGTATTGTGGATTGGGTCTTTCTTGTATTTATATTAGTAGTATGGAGAAGAGAAAGTCTCGGGGCAAGTGAAGCCCTATGGTAAATTGACTGAAGTAGATGCAGATAGATGATTTGTGAATCTCGTTCCTGGCATTACAAGCAAGAGAGGATGCTGAAGGTAGCTTTTCTGAACATCAAAGGTGCAGATAAAGTTTATTGTTCTGTGGGACACCTTAGTTGGATGTAGAGCTGCTCCTTAAAGATTAGGCCAGCATAATTAAACATGGGTGTACATTAAACATTTACATCTACAGCTTCTGCCTGCCTTTATGCTTAACATTCAGTTGGAGTGAATGCTTGTTTCATTTTTGGGTTTAGCTTGCTCATGCAGATAAAGTTTATCTAAGCTTATTTTCTCTGAAAGAAAATGTGTACACTGGCGTACAGAATGCCTTGCCCTCTTTCTGGTGCTGCGTTACCTCCTTGCTGATTGGCAAGGGATGGGAAAGGCCGTAGATACTGTCCCCCTGTAGAATGAGTGAATCGGGTGTGTTTGGTTTTGAGGTGGGAAAAGAAGTGTCATCCATCCCTGGTTTTCATTTTGGTGCTCAAAAATGACATAAAAGCTGGATGCCAGGGAGGAATATCCATTGGGGTGGGGGCGGGGTGGGGGGAGAGAAACCAGCCCTGCTCTCCTCTGTGATTGGGACTGACTGTGTTGTTGCTGGGTGGAACAGCATAATGCTGTTGCTGCTCCTGCTCCAGCACTGTGATGTTTCTGTTCCAGATTGTGCTGACTCACATTCAAGAAAACATGATACACAGACACAATGCACTGTAACTCTTTTCCTTTCCCCCAGTAACCTCGGTAAGTGTTTGGTTTCTTTTTCCTGTCTATGGCTAGTGTGGTTCTAATATAGCTTTACTGTTAGAATTAAAAGGAGGGGGAAAGGCAACCTTGTAAACAAACTGGTAGCAGACAGATTAATCTTGGAGAGGGCATTTAAATGCAACCTGCTGTTTGTGGTACATCCACCTCCCTTTAAAGCTGATCAATCCTGATAACTCGCTGGTCTCTGCAAACTACACTTGTTAGAGCTGTGTTCTTAAATGGGAGAAGTGCTTACAATGCCCATTTACAACTGTATTCTGTTTAATTAGTCAGCACAGCCAGTGCTGCAGGGATAGATCACTTGCCTTTAAAGATTTGAGAATGTTAATAGTACAGTATATCATTTTAATTATTATTGGATTAATGTTGTGTCTCGAAGAACATCTAATGCAAATCACAAGAAATGGCCTGAAGTGACCCAAGGGTTGTGCTTTATTAGAAAAGTAATAGGTCCATTGCTTAAATATAAAGAGAGGTTCTTTCTTCAAATGTCACTCTGCACTGGGCTTCTCTGTGTGTGTATAAGGAAGTGAAATCCTCTTGCTTCCACTTTGTCCACAGAAAGTTTCTGTAGCTCATGCAATAAATGGCTGAGACAGTAGGTGTAATGCCAAGAGAGGAAGAGGAGCGCCAAAATAACAGGGATGATGAAGACCCGTTTCCGAATTGTGATGCTGTAACAGCATCCCTCGGTTGCTCTGCCAGCCCTTCGTTAGCCAACCTTAATGAAGACAAGAGAAGCTCAGCGGTGCCAGAAAGACTGTCCACCCTCTCCAGCAAGGCCGTGGCCCTGGCAAAAGCTGTGACTGGCCCTGAGATGCTCAGTGGTGGCCAGGCACAGAGGAGAGCCCCTGGGCTGGCTGAGCATCATCCCACAGCTGTAAATGCATCGCTGGGTGGCTCGTCGTACCCCATGGCGGTCAGTAACCTGCAGCCTGTGGGCATTGCCTCCCTGTGCTCCAAAAGCCCCTGCTGCAATAGCGACCTGAATTTGGAGGTGCTGCAGGTCCCAAGAGTGCCCAGTGGGGCCAAGGAGCCCCCGCAGACTGTCACTGCCCTGCCCGGGACCGACCCCGGGGGCTGCCACGTGCAGCAGGCAGGGAGCGGTGCCAAGGGTGATACTGCCCCTTGTAGTCTGGGACGGGTGAGTTGGATGAAGACCGCAAAAGTAATGGAGACCTTAGAAAATAAGAAAAAGGAGGAAAAGGAGAAGTACCGGCTCCAGCTAGCTATGTACAGACGGCTTCTGCTGTTGCGCTCAATCAGGAGTTTGCATAAGCAGCTGGAGCAGCAGCAGGCCAGATTGCAGGAATGCTACGGCACTGTAATAAATACCAAGAAAGAAGTGTTGAAACACATTCGCTCAACCTCGCCCTCACCTTCGCCATAATCATGTTGCTGCATGCAGAAATGAGCTTTGTAATGCCACCGGAGCTGTCGGTAAGCTTGCATGCCGTAGGGGTGGTGTCCTTATACCCAAAAGAACATGCCCACGTGAGCCGAGAGCAGAGAGGAAACAGCAGCAGCAGCAAAGCAAGAAGAAAGGGGAAGGTAAAGTGTTGGCTCCTGAACTTATCTGGAAGAAACCAGAGCAAGATTGTACCTGTGCAGGAAGCCGCCTCCTGAAGTGCTCTCAAAGCCTCAAGCTGAAATAGGATTTTTGGCATATAGGTTTGTAAAAATAAATAAATGCCCCCCCACACCCCCCCAGCAACCGGGAACCTAGTCTGACACCTGATCTGCAAAGATCATCAGATGCAAGAGTTGCTGCCTGCTGAATATGTGATATGGCACAACTCCCTTCTACTTTCAGCACTAACAAAACTTGAGCAGAAATAGGGTTCATTTGTCTGCAGGAATACCTTAAATCTAGAAAGCCAGGATGTTTGAAACGCTTAAGCTCAGGCTTGATTATACCTACCTAGCTGCCTGTTTTTCACAGAACTGCTATGGCCATTGTACATTTGTGACCTCTACCCTCCTATAAAATGTATTCAGGTTTACCAGAAATTGTTGTGGGAAGGTAGGACAGTCGAACACATGCACAGGGAGACAGTGCAACTGCCTAAGCCTTATTTCCTTAGGAAAGCAAGCTAAAAAGAAAGGCCTTGTAATCTGGTGTTACATTGGAAACCCAGACTGGCAGTGCCGGGGAATGTTTGAGGTCTGCACAATTATTAATCTGCTGCTAACTCCCAGTGGCACTAGTGTCTGCAAATTGAGCATATTTTGTGCCTTACTGCTGTCATTTAATGGAAGTTGGTGACAATTAGCACTTTTTATCCAGGTGTATTAGACATGTGGAAAACCCTAGAGCACTGTTTCTCCAATTGCAAGGTTAGGATGCCTGCAGGGAATTTGATGTCAGTATGCAACAAACACACAGGGAAAATGAAAGCAAAAAGATGCAACTTTTTTTTGTGCGCACTTAAAAGACAATGTTAGTCCCTATTATAGAACAGTAAATTGAATAGCTGAATGCACTGGTTTAGGATCTGAAGCAAAAAAAAAAAAAATAATCAAGAAGAAAAGATACTGAAAAGCTTAATTTTCTAGGATTTAAAGTGACATGGAAAAATATCATTTTTTTCAGATATTTATTTCTGATAGCGCCACCTTCCCTTTTCCCCTGTTGTTTTGTTGTAAATGTTTAGGTAGATGGACAATCAAACAGGTTTTTGGTGTGTTTTTTCTGCATGAAAAGGCAAGTCATTTCTTTCTGAGAATAATGTACAATGTATAGGAAAGTTCATCCTCAGCTTTTTTGTGTGTGTATAGAGAGAAGGTGTGTGCATGTGTATGTATTCACACACATACTCCTGTATACAACAGGTTATGAAAAGCTGGTGGTGCTTTTTCTGTAGCAGAAGCAGGAATAATATCTCAAAATAATCCCTGCTGTCTGTGAGGAGTTTGGTTGATTAGATTCACATGCACACATCTGTGAGTAAGGTATTGAAGTAATTCAACAATTGAAGTGCAGCACAACATTTTCATTATTCCGTCTTTGTATTTCTATGCACCCAAAATTATGGAAGCCCCCTGGGTACGCACAACCTTAGATAGGCTCATTCATCTCCTTGGGCCCTGGTGTAGCCTCTCAGGCAGCACGAGCCTGTAACTTTGAATGCAGAACTACCACAGAAACATCCTTGGCATCAAGGAGATATGTGAAGAAGCATCCTCTACTGCCTCGTTTGGGGGATTCGGGTTGCCAGGGGCCCCTAGCAGGCTGCAGAAGGGAGCTGGGGATCGCGTGTGACCAAGAGACAGTACTCCCCACTCTGGTCCCATCCAGCTCTCTGCTCAGCCGTGGGAAAGCTGTTCTCTGTCAGTAATGCAGGTTTCCCAAAGAACGCCTAAATGCTAAACTCACCTCAAAGGTAGCCAGTTCTGTCTTAATATGCCTCCCAAGAAGGAAGGATGATCATGCCCAATAGGGCTATGCAAAGATTTTTTTTTTTTCTTATTTTTTTTTGTACTTCATGAACTAGAAAAGCCTTTTTGTCATTGGTTAAGAGGGAGAGTAAGTGTTCTGCTAAATCAAATGCAGGCAAACCACTACTATGTCATCTCTCTTGAGGAAACAAGTGTTGAAGAAGGGACACATCTCAAAAATATTACTGAGTTTTGAACTCAAATGTCAAATTGTTCCCATCAGGATGACAGTCAGAATGTATACATTTATTAATTTTGGCCAGCTTTTTTTTTTTGTTTGAAAAAAAAAAAAAATCTCATTTTGACTAATACTATCATGTCATTGAATTTTCCATTGAAATAAAATATATGCACAAAAATATAAAAAAAAACCTGGTAAGACAAAGTAACTATTTTGCCTCAGTTTCTGCTGAAGTAGAGTATTGTCCTGTATTTTCTGCAAGAAGTGGAGTGCCCTCCATTCCCACATAGAGCTGCCTATAGTGTTATATTGTCATTTAAGGGTGACTAGAATAACATTAAAATATACTTCTCACATAATACACAGTGCAGTGATAGTTGAGTTGTCAACTTGTCTAACTGAAAGTGCTTTGTGGCAGAACTGTGACAATCTTTGTTTTGTACAACACCTCTCATAAAATTTCATGATTCTAATTGGGAGCAGTAGTTGCTTCTGCACTGTGAATATTAAATACAAAAAGATTTGTGCATGAGCAATGCTGTCTGATAGCTGGAAAGAAAACGAAGCTAAGACTTGTTCCATGTGTGCACACTTTTTCCATGTAGCGCTTTTATGGATACATGCAAAATAAATGTTATTTGAGGAAATAGCATCGGTCTTTGCAACAAATTTGCTGGTTAGCTGATGTTTCTAGTATGGCTACTAATAACTGGAGTTGGGCAAACCAATTAAAAGCCACATGATTTTTAAAATAAGTTTATTTTATGAGCTTGGAAAATGTGGCTTAACAGCTATGTTTTTGCCTTGTATGTTTTAGCAGTTGAAGGCCATTGGGAAAGTGCCAGATTGCCATGGGTAACCCATGGAGGTGTTTCTAGGCATACCAGACAGAGCAACAATCTCAGGTTTAATAAAAGTGTGTCCTCTCAAATTGTTCGATCCCCTCATGTGGTTAAGAGGCCTTGTAGTTTGGATGTGGTTTAACTGAATTTCTTAAAAATCTGCATTTTTACCTGAACTCAAACCACACGGGTTTAGTGCAGGTGAGAATTACAAACTTGAATTACTGAAATTTCATATATGTACATAAGAACTCACAGGTCTTGGTTAATGATGACAAAATAAGTAGCTTTAGTAGTGCCTTTCTCCCCATTATCTTACTGCCTGAAGCAGCCTGTCAAGCTCCAGGAGAAACCTTCTCTGTGACCCGACATCTTGTGTTACCTACTTTTGCAGCAAATGTTGAAGTTAAATGATATTATCTGAGCCTTATGGTCCCATTGCTCACCTAATTGCCTAGC